CAGGCGCAGAAGCCCGCATGCAAATCTTCGAGGACCTCTTTACCCTTCTCTGGGGTAACACACTTCAAAAGGGGTTTCAAGAAACCAGTTTTGAAAATTTCTCCTTGTCTCAGCTCGAAGTTTGCCGCTTTCTTCTTCAGAACAGCCGCCTCCTGGGGTGAATCAGGGAGCGTGTCGTCTGCAAGATAAGCCCGGATGCTGTCCATCCAGGTAGAGCTTCGGTCGAGAATTCCAGTGGGGTCTTCATTAGATATAATTATCTTTTCCGTGACCTCCCAGAAAACCGACCGAGGTGTTTCACAGGAGGCGGATGATGCTAGTTTTGACAGAGCATCCGCCTGATTGTTTGAAGATCTGGGCACCTGAGTTAGATGGAACTCCTCAAGTGTCCCAACTTCACTTTTGACCGCCTGCAAATATTTTATCATAGCCGGATGAGTGGCCTCGTACGTTCCATTGACCTAGAGTACGACTAGTTGAGAATCAGAGTAGGCGTCAATTTTCTTTGCCCCTGCCGCCTTGCAATACCGAATGCCAGCTAGCAGGGCCTCATACTCGGCCTCATTATTAGAGACCTGGAACTTGAAATATTTGTACTTATCTCCCTCAGGAGATTGACAGATAATCCTTGCACCACAGCCGTTCGCAGTGGAGCTCCCGTCCACATACACTTTCCAAACCTGGTCAGTATTGTCTGGTGGAACCGACCTTGTCATTTCAACAATAAAGTCGGCGAATGCTTACCCCTTTATTTCCTTCCTTGGTTCGTAAGTGATTTCTAATCCTTGCATTTCAACCGCCCATTTAAGCATTTGTCCCGAAGACTCCAAGGTTGTGAGTGGCCACTTGATCGGTTGGTCAGTATAGACCTCTACTGCATGCGCCAAGAAGTAGGGTTTTAGCTTCTTGACGACCATGTAAAGGGCAAGGCCAAAAACCATGGGGTACCGAAGCTCTGCGTTTCTAAGAACATGGCTAATGAAATACACCGGGAGCTGGATGCCATCTCTTTCAGCTAAGAGAACGGCGCTGAGGGCATGATCAGAGACGACTAAATACATGAATAGCTTCTCTTTTGGCAAAGGGCTAACAAGCCTCGGCAAAGAGTGCAGATGAGTTTTCAGCTTTTGAAAGGCCGCTCTACATTATCCCCCATTCAAAGTTGGTCTTCTTTTTGATTGCCTGGAAGAAGTAGAGACACTTGTCGCCTGACCAACTCAGGAATCTCTCCAAGGCCGCCAGGCAACCTGTTAACTCTTGCACTTCTTTCACAGTACTGGGCGACTACATGTCGATTACCGCCTGTATTTTCTCAAGGTTGGCCTCTATTCCCCTTTGGTCAATCAAAAATCCGAGAAACTTCCCGGACTCAACACCAAAGACACACTTTTTTAGGTTTAGCATGACCTTGTGCCGCCTGAGTGTGGGGAATGTTTCTCAGAGATCAGCAAGATGATCCGCCTATTGTTTGGATTTGACTATCATGTCATCAATGTACGCCTCTACATTCCTTCCGATTTGATTAATGAAGACCGTATTAATCATTCGTTGGAAAGTAGCAGGCGCATTCTTCAAACCAAATGGCATCACCGTATAACAAAACAACCCCTGATCAGTGACGAATGCCGTCTTTTCTTCATCTTTTTTCCACAGGGGGATCTGATGGAAACCTGAATAGGCGTCCATAAAACTCATCAGGGCATGTCCGGCTGTTAAATCGACCAGACTGTCGATCTTAGGCAGTGGATAGCTATCTTTTGGACATGCCTTGTTGAGGTCTGTGTAATCAACACACATGCGCCAAGTTCCATTCGGCTTTTTTACTAACACAACGTTAGCTACCCACTTAGGAAAATTGCACGGCCGAATGAACTTGGCGTCTAGCAGTTTTTAACTTCGGCGGCTGCCGTCTGACTTCTTTCCTCGCCATGGTTTCTTTTCTTCTACCGGATGGGCTTCTTTTTAGGATCCACGACGAGTTTGTGGACAGCGAGATCCGGGCTGATGCCTGGCATCTCTTCCACTTTAAAGGCAAAGATGTCTTTAAATTCTCTCAACAGCTGGTGCAGGCTCTCACCCAGCTTTGCGAATGCAACCGTCCCCACCTTAACCGTCCGCTCTGGGCGGTTGTCGTCCAGAGGGATATCAATGTGTTCGCCAGCAGGCTGGGGACGGAGATCATCCGACCGTTCCCCTGTCAGTGATTGCTATTGTTTTTCTTTTTTGACCACCACCAGCTGATCAGTCTTTCTTTTCTTTCCGGCTGGTGGGGCCGAATGTTCTTCCTTGACATTGTCGAGGTCGATTGTCTGCTTGCCCCGGCCGGATGCTGCGGCCGCGGGCTTGACATCCGAGAGGTAACACTCTCGATCCATCTTCAGGTCCCCATTGAGGGAACCGACTGTTCTATCATCCTTCTCATACTTGAGCAGCATGAGGGCAGGGATGATGACGACCTTACACTCATTTAGAGTGGGTCGGCCAAAGATGAGGTTGTAAGCTGTGAGCTCTTCAACCACTAGGAAACGGATGGTCATGTGCCGACCGTCTCCCTTGTTCCCCAGGCGGACAAGTAAGTCAATTCGTCCGACTAGGTGCACAAGTCCTCCCTCAAACCCAACAATGGTGTGGGAGACCTCCATCATGCTATCCGGTTTGTATTTGAGATTGGATAAGCATTTGAGGCTGATGAGGTCCGAGGAGCTTCCTATGTCAATCAAAATTCGACCAACCAGCTGGTTGGCCACCTTGCATTCAATGACCATAGGGTCATCATGCGGCCGACGGACTTTGCCTCTATCCTGCTGGGTGATGACAACTTTAGGGAAGGCGGATGTGCCTGCCGCCTCTCCTTCTTCAACAGAGTTGACCATCATTCTCAGATGGTCCTTGGTGCTCCGAATGGTTGGGCCACCACCAGAAAATCCGCCTGCTATGGTGTATACCGGATCTTCATCAGTTTCGGCACTCACAACAGGCTAGGGAGTCTTTTTCTTGGAGTGCCCTGGATTTGCCTTTGAAGTCACTTTGGACTTCACATAGGACTTCAGTTGTCCTTTGTCGGCCAGACGGTTGAGCTCCCGCTTGAGACTGAAGCAGTCGTTTGTGTCATGGCCGACATCCTCATGGAAATGGCAATGCTTGTTTTTGTTCCGATTTTCAGCGGAACCTTTCATAGGGTCGACTTCTCAAGAGTCAGCCGATCCTTAATGTCCAAGAGGATGGAGCAGCATTTGTATAGGATAGCTCCCGCTGAACTATCGCCCAGCCCCCAGGGTGCACACTCATCGCCAAATAAGCAACTAAAGGAGGGCTTATCTGCCCGGCAGAGTCAGCCCGCTGGGCTGACCAGGCTAAACTCTCCACGAAGGAGATAGTACGCCTATAAATAGAGGGTAAAGTACAACGGAAAGGAGGTTAGACACTCAAGTTATTACACTTTCTATATCTCTCTAAGTACACTTTCTCTCTCTAAACACTCTCTAACTTAAGCTTCGGAGGGGGGTTCCTCGAGCCACCCCCGAGGGCAGTTTACGTGTGCTGCCGTGTGTAGGTTGTTGACGGGACCCAGCTTACCCAGTAGAACTCTTGGATCCATACCTGGAACAATTAGCGCTAGAAGGAGGGGATTGCATCATCTAACCTGAGGTTCACCAACTGAGCTAGGGACTAGTTAACTAATTACCATGGCCGGAGAAGAAACTGTATAAACACCCACGTCCAAAACTAATGAGACCAGCCAAACACCACAAAAAACACACCCAGTAACCAGCTATCCAAAAGGATCCACTAGAAACCCCAAATCGACCATCTCACAGAAATCCCACCCTATCAAATCGACAGCATCCACTGCTAAAGCAGCGGCGAAACCAGTAGATCCAGTAGGATCCAGCTCTATTTTCAAGTACGGAATGCGGTTAACAGGCGCGAACAACGAGCTTATTGTTTCAGCACCTGTAACCCAGAAACCGCAGCCCATAAATATGCCAGCCATTCTGCAGAACCTCTCTAAGTGCAGCAAGGAGCAGCTGGCTGCAATGACAACGGTCCTTACCAATATGGGTAAGGAGGCAAGCCCATCACCGACAACGGCAGCTGCGGAGCCCGCAGCGAAAAAGCCGGAAGTCTCAACTCTCACCCCCGAGAAGAAAGAGCTCATTCAGCTGAGGAAAAAGGTATTGGAGCTGGAAGCTCGCAACCTGAATCGAGAATGGAGCGTGGAGGAAATAACCCCCGCTCGAATTAGCCCGGAGAAGCGGGTCCCTCGCAGTAGGTCACTGGCCGCAGAGCGAGGACCTAGCCCGGAGAGAGACAAACGAGCGCGAATCCAGGTTATTCCAGATGATTCCCCATTTTGCCGGGAGATTCTGGAAGAACCCATGGAGAAGGTGAAGATGCCGAGCTGCAAGTATATGGAACCACAACACCCTAAAGCCACATATCAGCTTTCGAGAATCATATGGTTTTCTACACCATGGCGGACTCAGTCTGGTGTAAGGCTTTCCCACCACCTCTGGAGGGGCTGGCAGCAGAATGGTACGGCGCATCCCCAAATGTTCTGTGTACTCGTACAACCAGCTGAAGAGAATGTTCATGGAGCATTTCATAACCTTGGTGGATAGAACCAAGATGACAACCGAGCTGATGTCCCTGGTTTAGGGAAAGGATTAGCCTTGAGGGAGTTCATCACCAGATTCAACAAGGAGGCAACGACCATCCCAAATATGAGCCAGGAGGTAGCGCTGTTAGCAATGCAGAGTGGCCTACTACCAGGGTCACCATTCAGAGCATACATGGGGCGTAAGAGCCTCAAAACGCTCGCTGAAGCGCCGCGTAAAGCGCATGAGCTCATCAAAGCAGACGAGACTGACAGAGCAATGCTGGGTAGGAAAACAACAGGTGACTCTGTTAAGCGGGCAGAGGTCACCCGGGCAGAGAACACACCCAGGGTGGACTAGCCAAGCAGGGCTGAGCAAAACCGCAGAGAAGCGGACAGGGCAATGGGTCTGAGAAGGTCCGATCCAAGGAGAGGGCCAAGGCCTGGGAAGTTTGATCAGTATACCCCACTAACCCTTTCCAGATCTCACATATTCAGCATAAATAAGGCTGATGATAAGTGGCAGAGACCTCTAAGGATGGTAAACAAGAGTCGTGATACTAGTAAGTGGTGTAACTTTCACAGGGACTATGGCCATACCACTGAAGAATGCACGCACTTGAAGGACAATATAGAGGACTTAGTCAGGAGAGGATACTTGAGTCAATTTAAGCAGCGTGATGACCCTCCCAGAAGAAGGGAGGAGGATAGAGTGGGCCGAGCTGACCGTAGAGGAGGTCATAGGGGCCCAACTGGAGACAAGGATAATGATGGCAAGCCAGAGGGCAGGGTGTACGTGATCAGCGGGGGTCCAGTACATGGGGGGACAGTCAATAGTGCGCGGGCTGACCTGCGGCCAATGATACATCAAATAAACGACAATGATAAGCGTAGATGGCCACCTCTTCCCCCCGCAGCCACGAGCCACGTTTGACGAGTATGACCAGAAGGGCATAATTTACCCTCATGATGACCCGCTGGTGGTGACAATGAGAATTGCAAACTGGGAGGTGGATAGAATACTGATAGACGGAGGCAGCTCAACCAACATCATATACATCAGTGCGTTCAATGAGCTGAAGTTGGACAGAAAAGACCTGAAGAGAGTAAGCTACGAGGTCACCGGGTTTAATGGCTCGGGGCTTACCCCAGAAGGCATAATCGAACTCTAAGTTCCGGGTAGGAGAGAGGTCAAGAAGGCGTAATGTCCGAGCAGAATTTCTTGTGATAAACTCCCTTTCACCATATAATGTAATCATGGGAAGACCGCTCATCCACAAGATAGGCGGGGTGGTATCCACTTACCACCTGGCCATGGCTTACACAACTAATGAGGGTCGGTCAGCAAAGCTCTGGGGAAGCCAGAAGACATCCCAACAATGTTACATAACTGCCTTAAAGCAGCCTACCAAAACCAGACAACATTCCGGTTCCGAGAGAAGGCTCCCTGAGCAACTTGAGAGGAAGTCGAGGAAAAGGAAGCGTGAAGAGTATCACAGGGAAAAAGATAAACAAAAGTTGGCAATGGAAAACTTCGAGCCTGCAAAAGAAGAAATGGCCAGACCACTTCCCAGCGGGGAGCATGTCACAGTCGAGCTCACAGAAGGTGATTCCTCGAGGACGATGAAGATTGGGAAAGACATTGATCTAGGAGTAGGGGTGCACCTCACAGAGCTGCTGAGAAAGAATAAAGACATTTTTGCATTTTTTGCAGATGAGATGCCCGGAATTGACCCAGCAGTCATGGTGCATAAGCTGAATGTGAAGGAGGATATTAGGCTAGTCAGGCAGAAAAAGCGAAGCTTCTCCACGAAGAAAAACCAGGTAATCCAGGAAGAGGTGGAAAAACTCTTGGAAGCAGGATTTATTAAACCCTGTGACTATCCAGAATGGTTAGCCAACGTGGTCATGCTGAAGAAGGCAAATGGAAAATGGCCAATGGAGAATGTGTGTTGATTTCACGGGTCTTAATAAAGCCTGCCCGAAGGACTGTTACCCACTGCCATGGATAGATCAACTTGTAGACTCAACAAGCGGGCACGCCCTGCTAAGCTTCATGGACGCCTTCTCAGGGTACCATCAGATCAGCCTGCACGAGCTAGACAGGCAGAAAACTACATTCATTACCGAAGGGGGAGTGTATAATTACATAGCTATGCCCTTCGGGCTGAAGAAAGCTGGAGCAACTTTTCAGAAGGCAATGGATAGAGTGTTCCTTCACCAGAAGGGAAGAAATGTGGAAGTATACGTTGACGACTCAATTGTTAAGAGCGTCACGCAGGCTGGACATATCATGGATCTGAAGGAAACATTTGCCACCCTGAACAAGTATAGAATCAAGCTCAACCCGAAGAAATGTGTCTTTGGAGTCAGCTCCGGAAAGTTAGTTCTTGGGTTTTCTGATCAGCGAGAGAGGAATAGATGCCAACCCAGAAAAGGTCGAAGCAGTCCTCAGTCTGCCCGAGCCTAAGAGCATCAAAGATATCATGCGGTTAACAGGAAGAATGGCCGCACTGACCAGATTCATCAACAAGTCAGTAGACAAAGCCTTGCCATTTTATCAGCTGTTGAAAGGAAACAGAGAATTCATATGGGGGACTAAGGATAAAGAAGCCTTTGAGGGTATTAAGGAGCATCTGACTAAGCTCCCAACAATGATCAGCCCAGAGCTGAGGGAAAAAATGCAGTTGTACATCTCAGTGTTAATACAGACAATTGCAGCCGTTCTGCTGGTAGAAAGACAGAAGCAACAAAGGCCGATATATTTTGTGAGCCACGTGCTGACCGAGGCAGAGGAAAGATACCCCCTGGTAGAGAAGCTAGCCTTCGCAGTGGTCACAGCAGCAAGAAAGCTAAAACCATATTTTGACGCGCATATAATAGAGGTCCTCACAAACCACCCGCTGGAGAAAGCATTACAAAAGATGGATTCATCGGGTAGACTCTTAAAGTGGGCAATCGAGCTTTCTGAGTATGAATTCGAGGTCAAGCCTAGAGCAGCCATCAAGGCACAAGCTTTAGCAGACTTCATAGTGGAAGCCTCCTATGAGGAGAAAGAGGATGACATTGGGGTCTGGAAGGTGGAAGTGGATGGATCCTCAGCCCAAACAGGGAGTGAGGCAGGAGTCATAATGACGTCTCCAGAACGAAACGTATTTAAGTATGCCATCAAGTTCAAGTTCAAAGCGTCTAATAATGAAGCAGAGTATGAGGTGACGCTGGCAGGCCTGCGTATGAGCCTCGCAACCGGAGCCCGCAAAGTACACCTGCAGACTGATTCTCAGCTCGTTGCCAGCCAACTGTAGGGGGCATATGAGATAAGGGAAGCCACTATGATAAAATATGTAACCAAAGTGAAAGAGCTGGCAGCCCAACTAGTCCATTTCCAGATAGACTTGGTCCCCAGAGCAGGAAACTCTCAGGCTGACGCCTTATCTAAGTTAGCCAGCTCCACCTTACAAAGCCTCACAAGCACAGTGATGGTCGAAGTGTTAGAGGAAAGCAGCATCGCTGAAAAGGAGCAGGTAAACTGCGTTAGGAGTCAAAGAGCCTGGTTCTTAGACATCTTGGCGTACAAACTTCATGGCTCGCTGCCCGATGATGAAGTACAGGCTAAAAAGGTGAAGAAAGACGCAAATTGGTATGTAGTGATGAATGGAGAGCTCAACAAGAAAGGCTTCTCAAAGCCGTTGCTGAGGTGTATTCCAGAATGGGAGCAGGAGGGCATTATGGAAGAAGCCCACTCTAGAATATGTGCCAACCAAGTACATAAAGGCAACCCAGGTCAGAACATTTATATGGAAGAACATCGTCACTAGATTCGGGGTGCCACAGTGCATAGTCTTTGATCATGGGTGCCAATTTGACTACGACACCATAAAGGACTACTTGGGGGATATGGGAACCAAGTATGCAAGTGCCTCAGTCTGCCACCCGCAGAGTAATGGCCAAGCAGAAGCAGCAAACAAGCTGATCCTGACAGCCCTACAGAAGAAGCTGGAGGAGTACAAGGCCTTGTGGGCAGACTTAGTCCCAGAGGTCTTGTGGGAAAATAGTACCACTGAGAAGGAGTCACCGGTAAAAGCCCTTTCACCCTGGCCTACGGGGTTGATGCAGTTGTCCCATCCTGAGGATACAACACTATGAGCAGCAAGGAAATGAAAAGCGCATGATGGAAGAGCTAGACTTCCTGCCAGAAGTAAGGCTAAAAGCAGCCCTTAAGCTGGCAGCCCAAAAGAACAGGATCTCAAAAGCTTTCAACAAAAGGGTCAAACACAGGGAGCTCCTGCCAGGAGACTTAGTCCTTAGGAGGACAGCAGCAGTTGGAAGAGGAAATCAGCATGGAAAGCTGTCAGCAAACTGGGAAGGCCCTTTCATCATCCACTAGCAGGTTGGACCAGGCGCGTTCCTCCTTGCAGATCAAGAAGGTCAGGTCTTAAGAAACAATTTCAATGCTGATGTGTTAAAGAAATATTTTGTTTAAATAGCCTAAAACATAGCTGCTTCAAGTCGATAAACCTTTATTCAGTCCGTGTTATGTTAACTAAGGCATTTGAGCCATTTTTATTCAATGAAATACAAGCCTCTGCGTGAGGAGTATGTTGCATAAATTTGTTTAATATAGTATGCCCAAGCATTATATACTAACATGCAGAAATCAAACAAGAATAATAATAAAGTGTTAGAGGCAAGAAGCACTCTAGCGCAAAATGACAAAGTGAAAGCATCCCTCCTTAAAACCTCACTTCACCTGCAAAAAGCAAAACAGGGCACCACCTCGGGGCCGCCTGAGGGGGAGCCTGACACGTTCAGCTTGAGCAGGGGAGAAGAGAAGAAAAGAAGAAGATGAGCTACATGGGAAACACTAAGGTTCTCTTAGTCCCATTCAGCCCATCTCTTCAAGGGGGAGAGGAAAGGAAAAGACAGTCAAGCAGTAAGCCCTTACAAAAAGAAGTAAGCAGGCAGTAAACAAGCTGTATGACATAAATAAGTCGAAACATAAACAAGCTGAATGACATAAATACGTCGCAGCATAAACCAGCTGAACGACATAAACAAGTCGCAGCATAGATAAGCTGAACGATACAAATAAGTCACAGCAAAACAAGTTGATGACACAGACGAAATAAGCAAAAAGCTGATCGACACAAACAAGTCTCAGCAAGGATAAGTCAAATAATGCTCAATCAAATATGTCAACCAGCACGCAGACGAAGCCTTTGGGCAAAGCCAAGTAAAGTACACAACGCGCAAACACTTGAAGCAGATAAAGCAGGAAGGAAAAAATGTAACAAAGTCCCTGCTGAAGCACAACGGAGCGCAAAAGAAACAGAAAAGCGCTAGGCAGCTAAATTAAAAGACAGGATGGCCCAACCTACGAGGCCCCACCAAATGTAATAAAGAGCAAGCATGCAAACAATGAAGTAAACAGCAAGAAAAGTAGCAAGAGGAAATCATAAGGAACAACATTATAAGGTTGAACCCCTGCCCACCAAGGCAGAGTAAACATCCACCAGGTCAGTCACAGAACAAATAAAGCTGAGCCCTCATCCACCAGGACAAGGAAACACTCAGCGGGTAAAGTTAGAAGATCATAAATTCAAGCTAAGCTGGACAGACCCAACAACGAAAGAAAAAGTATTCTGAAAATACACATAGAAACATAATCTTTGGCAGCTATACACCCCCAAAGATAGTAACAAAAACTACCTAGTTACAACAGATCTGGGTGAGGGAAACTCAGAGGAACCACTGGAGTAGAAGGGTGACAACCGCCATAACCTTTATTGATCATCAGTTAGAGACTCCACTCAATAGCTACAGCAACGTCAGGGCAGAGAGGCACCTCCAAGTTTAGCACGGCCTGGTTGGGGGTCTTACAGCCAGCAGCGTGAGGGTGATCAGCGGGAAGATCGAACAAACCAGCCTCACCTGTAGATTCAACCTTAGCCCAGAAGGCATTAAAGCTAGCCTGCTACTCTTCACCCTCACCATACAAGCTGCTAACGTAGCAAGCCGCAGCTTCCCATCCTCCATCATGGCGATCAGCTAGGAGCTTAGCAAAAACAAGAGAGAGCGCAAAAGACTTGAGAGCCTCTGTCCTAGCAGCCTCCAGCGCAACAGCATGCACAGCCTGTAAATCTGCCACCACCGCCTCTAACGTCTTCACTCT